TGGAATGATTGATATAAAGAATGCAGAGAGGCCAAGGTTATATATAGTAATTGGAAATGGAATGACTTTCTGACCAAGCAGATGCTGAGTTCTAGGGAAATACTAGAGTACCAAGTTTTAAAATAATAGATTTATTTAGAATTGTAATAATAAAAACTTGAGGTTATCTACAATGAGATACAAGTATATTTTAAAAACATATAGAAGATGGAGACAAAAATTCTAACTTTGGGTTAAACAAGTAATTGGCTATGTAACTGGCAAGAATGAGTTGCTTACCAGTCAAAGTGGAAAAAGTGAAAATAAGCAAAGAAAAACTGTGGGGCAGTTCTCATTACAAGGAGGGCTAGCTGGTTGTAATGGTCAGGAATAGAGCTTTGGGGCAGACACAACTGGGCCCAAATTAGAGATTCCCCATACCAGCAGCTATGCCCTCAGCAAGCAACCCATGCTGTCAGCCTTAATGGAAATACTTGTATCTCTCAAGACAGATGTTGGGAGTAGATGAAAGCGCGCGCGCGCACACACACACACACACACTCATAAGCATATGACTGGCACAGAGCCAGCACTTAATAAAAGGCTTGGTTCTTTATTATTGAAAAATGGAACATGATAATTCTCCAAGAGAGATGGGGCTTAAGTTCTATTTAAGGGATGGTTGGGAAACATCATGACCTTGGGCCATATAAGGCCTGCAAAATCATCAATACCAGCTAACATTACATACCTCACCAAAGAAAAGCTGTTCTCACCATCCCTCTACCAAAGCCAAATTCACTGCCAATGAGTCGGTCTGACTCCTGGCAGCCCTGTGGGACAGGGGTAGGCTTGCTTCTGAAACTGTAACTCTTTATGGAAGTCCAAAGCTTTCTCTTCCTCCTGAGGTGCGACTGGTGGTTTTCAACTGCTGACCTTGTGGTTAGCAGTCCAACTCGTAACCATTACGTCACCAGGACTCCAGCCATCACATGAGGGGTGAGCTAATTATATGTTTGACCAGTATGGTCCACAAATGATGTTACCAACATCCAAGTGGTCTTTGGAGGAAGAAAGGCTCCCCCTCCCTGGTTTCAGAGTATCAGGGACAGTGTGTCACAGTAGGACCTTCCCTGTCCAGCACTAAGATCATTCACTTCAAGGAGTCTATTCTGATGCACAGTCACTTTAGAGGCCGGAGTAGAACTGCCTCTTTGGGTTTCTGAGGATGAAAAAGCAAAAGCCTTTTCTTTCTCCTTCAGAGCAGCTGGTGGAGGCGAACGGCTGACACTGTGGTCCGCATTACCCACTACACCACGTGTAATCTATCACCCCAGCGGGGCTCCTGTTAAGCGCAAGGCCAAGTACATAATAAGTACTAAGTACATATTGTGGAACATAAAGAAACGGTGTGTTTTCTCAGTTACTCATTCCAATATAATTCTGTCACATATGGTGCTCATACACACACAGAACCACAATAAATACTTTATTCAGTAGTGCTTTAAAAGAGCACTTCTGGTGGTTTATCACATTGACTTGAACAAAACCTAAAAACAATGAAGTAAAACACAGCCAGGTAGAGAAGGTTCTGCAGGAAATTAAGCTAATACATTTAGGCATATAATGGCTATATTTTTGTTGATATCTATACAGCAGGAAAGAATTTACTAGAAGAAAATGTTCTTTACTGGCCAGCAGACGATTCAATGTAAGAGCCTTTGGCAAAAGCTGGGGAACTGGCATTCTGCTCAGAATTTAGAAATACTGAAGTAGGCAAGAATTACCTATGCAAATTGAGGTGCCCTGCAAGCAGTGAGTATTTAAAAAAAAAAAAGGACACAATGCAGCAACACTTTTCACAAAGGTGTGGCTAGAATGAATGCACCCTCCAGGAGGGCAGGGATTTTTCTCTCTTTTATTTATTCATACCTGGAAGATCCTACAAATTGTGGTGGTGAAAGACACCGTGTGGAGTGTATAACAAGCCCGATCCCTAAGGTAATGGAGCAAGTCTGTAACAAGTAAGACCACACAGTTACTAAAACTGCTCCTGGATTCTGGTAGACATGGAGTGCATTATCACTGGGGCACAAAATAAGAACGTGGTCAGGACTGTGAGACCTACCAAAGTATAAGACCAGGTAGACTCAAGAGAAACCTACCATAAGATAGAGATGGTATTATCTAGGATCAGCATAAGCAGGACCTAGCGGCAGAAGAAATTGCAGAAGCAGGGACCCGAGACCAAAGGTCACCATCACTGTTGCACTGAAACCTTTTCCCCAGCTCGCAGACAGCCACATGGAGGTGGGTCCTTCAGCACCAGAATAGAGAGGATAAAAACGGTCAAACATAGTCCGTGGATGGGGCTGTTGTTAAGTTCTGGCGAGTTGGCTTTGACTTAGTGATCCTACGGACACTAGGATGCAACACTGGCCTGGCCTGCACGACCCTCACAATGTTTGCTCTGTCTGAGCCCAATATTTATGCTTCCATGATCATCCATTTTGCTGAGGGTCTTCCTCTCTTTTGCTGAACCCCCATGCTACCAAGCATGTTATTACATTCCAGGGATTGGGTTCTTTTGATAACATGTCCAAAGTATGGGAGATGAAGCTTGCCATCCTCATTTCTAAGGCGCATTTTTAGTAGGACTTCTTCTAGACAGATTTATTTGCTCTTCTGGTAGTGCACTGTCCTTTCAATAGTCTTCACCAACACAGTGATTCTAATGAATCCAGTTTTCCTTATTCACTGTCCAGCTTTCACATGCATAGGAGGAGACTGAAATACCATGGCTTGGGTCAGGCAGGTCTTAGACCTCCAAGTGACCTAAAGTTTTGCTCTTTCACACTTTAAAGAGGTCTTGTGCAGCAAACTGGCCCAATACATTATGTAATTTGGTTTCTTGACTGCTACTTCCTTGAGTGTTAACTGTGGATATAAGTAAAATGAAATCCTCGATAACATCAATCTTTTCTCCATTAATCATGATGTTGTCTATTAAACTGTATTTCCATTTTTAAAAACATTTTGTTGTAGTTCATAGGGAAAATTGCAGTCTTTTCTTTTTCTACGTAAATTCTCCAAGTCCTCTTGGCTTTCAGCAAGCAAAGTTGTGTCATCTGTATATCACAAATGGTTGATGAGTCTTCCTCCAATCCTGATGTCAGGTTCTTTTTCATAGTAATCCAGCTCCTTGGATTATTTGTTTCGTACAGAGACCAAATAAACATGGTGAAAGGCTAGAACTATGACACACACCTTTTCTGATTTTAACCTATTCAGTCACTCCATGTTTTGTTAAAAAAAACCTGCTTCTTCCTCTGTCCTGGTTCCACATGAGCACAATTACATGTTCTTGAATGCCCTTTCTTCACAATGTTCACTATAGTTTGTTCATCTTGGGTGTTCTATTTCACTGACAGAACTCATCTACCACCTTGCTTTTCACTCTCATCACTCCATGGATTCTGTAAGAGATGTCTGTATTTCATCTGTAACCACGACAGGTAGCTGTTTTGTTGTTGTTAACATTTTATTGTAAATTGAGTGGAGGTTTACAGAGCAGATCTAAACAATTCATACATATTTCACATCATCTCATTCATCACAATTCTCTCAATTTAACATCACTCTCCCACCTCCTTTTTGCGTTTACTGCCTCCACTGCTCCTTCTCTCCTAACATTTTTGAACTTGGTCCTTGGGCAAATGCTGTCCCTTCAAATGGTTGATGATCCTAAGGTGTGCGTACCTCACTAGTGTTACTGTTTCCCTTATAGACCTGCCTATTCGTTGGCTGAAAATTGAGCCATGAGGGTGAGTTCAGTCCTAGACCTACCTGAATGGCAACTAGGGACCATAGGCTTAGGGGTTCCACCAGTCTCCTAGATGGGTCTTCATATCAGACATTCTAGAGTCACTTCAAATTTAAATACATTTGCAGATAACAGCCTTTGCGTCTCTTTTCCCCTTGTAGACTCAGCCCACTGTGAAGGGCACTTTCTTCCCAGGCCAGATGGAAACTCTGGGATTGGAGTCCCACATCTCCAATGGGCCTCCATACTCTATTTCACTTCTCCAAGACATTAGGAGGCCCTGCAGATCTACCTCCCACCTCAAATACAGATAGGAGCAAGGGATTTAAGAGAGAAGAATATCCTCTCCTACAATCCAGAAAATAAAGACTATGGAGACAAGCAAGGAAGAGCCCAGTGTACTGGATCACAGAAAGATCGGGTCATAGGGTCTGGTCTGAAATACAGTTCAGACTCCCCTCCCCTTGCTTTCCTTGAAAGACGCCGAACAGTGTAAGATATGACAAAATAATAATTTATAAATTATCAAGGGCTCATGAAAGGGGAGGAGCGGGGAGGGAGGGGGGAAAATGAGGAGTTAATGCACAGGGCTTAAGTGGAGAGGAAAAGTTTTGAGAATGATGAGGGCAACGAATGTGCAAATGTGCTTTAGACAACTGATATATGTATGGATTGTGATAAGATTGTATGAGCACCAAATAAAATGATTAGAAAAAAAAGACTAGTAGCAAGTCATTTAGGTCTAGCAAGATTTGTAAATAAACTCTCAATGATATCTGATGATTCAGTCGTTGCCAATTGTTCCTCTCATTTCTACCAAGGGCAATCGAGAAGTTTGACATTCACTCCAGAGCACGTGATCAGCACTTTCACAGGAAGACACTGCGGCTTTAACAAGATTGTAAAAACAGATACATATCCCATCTAGCTAACTAGGTTGGTGTTTCTCTAAGAAATACATGCTTATCTACTATAACTGGAACAGGGTTGTCTAGTTTGACCAATCTTTCAGTTGCAATTTATTTATCCTCCTCAAGACAACGAGAATAGCCATTAGAAGAGATTCACATTCTCTTTGGAAAATTGTCCAAATCTACTTGTCACGCACAGAGAGAGAATGTAATCTCAAAACCACAGAGGAAAAGTTTACTTAGACCACCGAGTATTTTAAAATTCAGTTAATGTTCCTGTGTTTTACCTGCGGCTGCCTCTGTCGTCGCACCTGGGCAAACTGAGAGAGCATCAGCTGCCGATCAAGCTGCTCCACTCTTTGTTGTCTCTGGAGGTCTACTGTTGCTCCCATGCCAATTCTGGCTTCGCTGGTGGGCTCCGCAGTGGCAAAGATGGGCTCAAGGGTCCGGGAAAATAACTTTGCCAGCCAGCTGGGGACACAGAGCACCTGATGGATCTTTAACACGCTGCTGGTATAGCACATACCAGAAATCTGAAAGAAAACATTCATTTATTGAAATGTAATGAAAATGTTTTAACACAGAAATCAAGGCAATAGACCCATTCTGGGGATAATATTTCTATTCTTTAAATGAGATTTCTATTTGCTGTATTAGGATCAGGTGACAAATAAAATCCTGTTTAAAACTGTAGAACTAAAGTAAAACTCAACAAAAAACCTTCAATTTACATAGTAAAAACAAATTATTTTTGTTAAATTAGAATGAATAGCACAATGCTAGCCATTATCACTAAAACCCACTTCCTATAAGTTTATTCTGACTCCTATCATCCCTATTAGATGGAGTAGAACTGCCCCTGTGGATTCTGAGACTGTAAATGTTCACAGTAGTCCACAGCTCATCTTTCTCCCATGGAGCAACTGGTGGGTTTGAACTGCTGACCGTGTGTGGTTAGCAGCCCAATGCCTAATCCACAGCACCATCAGGACTCCTTGTTTATGACTCAAAGAACCAGTGAAATATTTAAAAACAACCACTCAAAAAAGGCATTTTAAAAATCTGATAATAGAAACACTTTCACACTGAAGTACATCTGTGGTTACTCTTATTGGCAGAGGTCCAATAAGAAGATAGGAACAGAAAACAACTCTGATGTTCAATGGCCTGACACACAATAAATTTATCAAAAATAAAGGCAATTGAAAATCTTTGATTTTAAATGTAGCACTTTAATTGACATTTCATGTATTAATTTTTTCCTAGATTTAAAATTTTTCAACTATGCTCCTAGGCAATCAATAATTACATTTCTTGAAAAAATAAACAAGATTTCTTTTTTATCTTCAAGGTCATTTATATGATACGAGAGATCTACAAACTCTTTTATGGTTTTTGACATAAATAGGAGTCTCGCTATTCTTTTTAAAAATTTTTAAAATCATTTTATTAGGGGTTCATACAACTCTTATCACAATCCATACATACATCAATTGTGTAAAGCACATTTGTA